TTGGGCAGTTCACAATTGAAAACATTAAAAACAAGGGGGAAAAAATACAAGAATAGACAAAAATGAAGAATAGAAGATGACAAAAAACTGGTCAGGAATGAAAAAGAAACAAATCCACATAGTAAAACTGATCTGATCCTTATAAAATAAGCTCAGCATTGCTTGATTGCCAGAGAGTGTACTGAATTGCCCATTAGGATACATAATGGGCCTAATACTGTAAGCCAGTAGATGTTTTTAAGTGATTGGAAATGGCAATTCTTCAGGTCCCAATTTGCTGACATAAGCTAATACCTTCAATTAGAGCTAATTTTACAGAAATCTATTATGTAGCTGAACCTACGGACCCTCAAATGTACTTTTATACTTTATACTTAGATAGTCTTTCATAGTAGATTGCCACAAGGGTTGTCCATCTCTGTTAAATTATATCTTATGATGAAATTCCAGCTCAGCTATTATGCAATGGTTCAACACCGTTTCTCATAGATTAAACAAAGATCAAGGTTTTTTATCATGCTGCATGTGTTAACTAGACATTTTATGACAATATCCTGATTTTGGAAAGCACGTTGCATTTGATTGGATCACTCTTTTGAAGTTGTTTTGGTTTGCAGCCTTTTCTACAGTTACCTCCAGCACTTGCAATGGCCGGAAGAGGCTTCTGGGCAGGCCCAGCATCTTTCTGAAGCAAATTCCATCACTCACAACCACAACATCTCCCATTATTGAATCAAAGATTGATGTGATTTGTCTTGACACAGCCTCCACTTAGCCTCTTCCGACATTTGCACAACCGCCATGTAGAGCAGAATCGTAGCTGGTTCAGAGAGGCCTACAACACACTGTCAAAATATCTCTGCTCTACACCTATCTGATGCTTTCTGTTCAGTTACTAACTAACTAAAGTTTGTTGCTCTCTTTTTTCTTTCACCACTATCCCCTTTTTGCCTATTTCCACAACAGCTTTGTGTGTATGTGTGTGTGCATGCATGTACACACTCCATATATATGAGAAGCAGATTATGACCCATAAAAGCTTCTGTAACTAACCTGCAGCCCAGATGCATACAGATCTCAAGCTTTTTTTTTTTTTTTTTGGCTGCCCATGGTCAATGAATGCTAAAAATGTGATTTTGTGATACATGACATGTCAGAAAGCACATCCCAACTATAATATAGGTCTTAAAATAAGCATAATAGAAACAAAGACCTATCCAACCCTGCCCCCTCCCATCCTAAACTTGCCCACTGGCATCAGCAGTTTACCCACTGCACTCCCAAATGGCATTAAGTGCAGTGCTCTGCCACCAAAAGGTTACCTGTCCTGCCTTATGGGGTAATGGATTTGTAAGTCTCTGAAGTGCTTCAAGATTCTTTGTGGGTGTGATGTCTTTAGGAGAGGGAATGATCCACTGCATCCATACCTTTATGTCAATGAGTTTAGTACTTGATGGCTGCTTTGGAGCAGCCAAGTAAAACCAAGCATCAATTCAGAATGGCCCCATCTAATTTAAATTAATTGCTGGTTTAAATTTCAGTCCTAAAACATGCTTAAAATTGGGAAAGCATTCTATAAAAAGCAGTGCATTTGTAATAACCAAAACTTAAATTTAAACTTAAAAGGCAGTTTATATCCAGGACCAAAAAAGTCTATGTTAAGTTCTATGGCCTATTAATTACATTCACAATTCCATTACAGACTGTGCTGCTGTGCATTTTAACTTCCACAAAGCACTATTAAATAATGTTCCCCTTGGATATGCAGAATATCCAGTGGCTTTAGATATTAGGTTAAAGGAAGTGGAGGGTTAGGGGGTCAGGAGACCAATTATTTGCTAATTACCATATAATTTCAGTGAGAATGGCAATAGTATGGATTTGCTTTCTAATGCTAAGTGTAATGTAAATGTTGTATCCCTGGGGGCTTTGG